TTGTGTTCGTCTACCTGGACGACATACTCGTCGCCAGTAATTTTGAGGAGGAACACCTGTCCCACCTCCGAGCCCTTTTCACGAGGCTCAGCCAACACAGGTTGATAATCAACCCTGCAAAGTCTTTGCAGCGTTTCCTCGCCCGCACACGGCCCGGTCGCTCCGTGAGTTCCTAGGGATGGTGACCTTCTACCACCGTTTCATCGCCCGGGCAAATTTTATAGGCTATTGTGAAAGATCTATTTAGTAGAGTTTTCTTAATTTTGACCATTTCTCCTATCTTACTGTAACCATAAACACCATATTGTAGATGTTTCATACAAACATAACATTCTGGGTTCAACTCACAACCCTAGGGTCCTTTATAATATACCTTTCTAAGAATTTCCACAATGTCCTCTGTCAAATAAATGTGGAAAAGCTACAAAATGCAGCCTATATTCTACCCTTGGTAGCAGTTGCGGGGGAATTGCCCGATAAATGTTTTAATGTAAGTGAATGTTGATGTGTCTGAGGTATTTTCATTTATATACTTAATTCTATCTTTAAGAGAAAGGTTTGTGTTTTTACGGTTTTGAACTTAAACATATAAATTAGTCTTTGAGTTCAGCGTCCAAAGTGACAGTAGAGACTGTGGTTCAGTCCTGTCTAGACCCCTTTTCATTTAAAAAAAGGTGCATTCATACACCGAGAATAGTCACTCATGGTCTCTTTGAGCTTTTTGCAGAGGGGGCAGCAAACCTCCATACATCCAGCATCATCATATGTTCTGTATGCCTGCACTGTTTACTGTATGAAAGCTCAGCTGTAAAAAGAGTATGGTTTCCTCTGAACACACACAGGAATGCATGCTTCATGAAAGAACAGATTTGTCAGGTAAAGTCATACTTAGCTGATGTTTGACATGCTGTAAAATGAGCACACACACATGCACATTTACCCTCTGCGTCATTGCTCTGGCGCTGTTCTATTTTACAAGTCCTTAGTTAATTTAATTAGTGGCATACGCATATACGCACAGACTTAAGAAGTGTAAGCTCAAAAATTGACATATTGACATGCTATAAAGAAGTCAAGTCATTGATACACGGTAGCTAGGTAAAAATAGTATAAATAAAACAATTAAAATAGTTAACTCAAAGTAATAGATCAATGGTAACAAAATAAACCAGGAAAAACTGTTGAAATTGTTAACTTTTCCCAGTACATAGACTACAGGTCTTTGAAGATCTTAGCTAAAAGGAAAGGATACATGCTTCAACTATAAGCTAACAATATAAAACTAAAGTTGACACATGCTTGCTAGCTTAAAAAGTAATAGATAAAACATTAATATTGATAACTCAAAGTAATAGATACATGGATTAAAACATACAGTAGGATAAACACATGGAATTGATAGCTTAAAGTAAACATTGTTAATAAAGCTGAGAAAGTTAATATACGATAGCTAGCTAAAAGTCCAGGCATTGTGATTACTGAGGAATATTTAGCTAATCATCCGCCTTCGTACTTTAAATAGATCACAGATAAAACATGCTTGAGTTAAATGTGTTTATTGTTTAGCACCGTTTCTGGTGGTTAGGGTTATCAACAAACATCATTAGCATGTTAGCATGTTAGCATGGCGTATTAGACTTGTGGTATGATTACATTTATGAAACCAGTGGCGATCCTAGAGTCGGTGGGGGCCCTAGGCAAACATTCACTGGGGGGGCCCTCAAACCAGCTCCCCCCCCCCCCCCCCCCCCCCCCGGGGGGGGGGGGGGGGGGGGGGGGAGCTGGTTTGCAAGGCAACAAAAGTTAAGATGAGAAGCAGCATTTTACAGCGCGCTATGCATGGGGCCGCCTTGAGGGGGTTTCCCGACATGTTGTTGCAGTAAATTAAAGGGTGTTTCATGTTGTCGTTGCTGTGGACCTTCTTAATCTACCTTCTTTGGGGGCCCCCTTCTGGTCCGGGGCCCCTTCAGTTGCCTGCCTTGCCTGTTCGCAAGGAGCGCCCCTGTATGAAACAGGCTGTTCCTCTCACTACAGACGGGTAATCCAGGGTGCAAAGACAGCAGCCTGTGTTGTTAACAAGACTACTTTCTATTAAAGAGGCTTATCCATTGTACTCTGCTTTAGGAGAAGATGCAAATGGTTACTGAAGTTGACAAATGTGCAGCATATGATCAACAACAACAACAACTATAAACCAATGTACAAAACGATTAGAAAATGCTCAGAAATGTACGGTTTCTTTAAGAACAAACTGTCTGTCCTTGTTTTTCTGAAAAACTAAAATACTTCTTATCACCATCAGTGTGAAACTTCTAATTTAACATTATTTGAAGAAAGGATATTATTGTACAAGCTTCCGAAAGGATAGATATTTAACTAGAAAGGCACTTGGAAGAGCTCCACAAAGACGAAATAAAGCTGGTAATATGTGACGCTATACCTGCTATACCCGTGTTTGTTTGGTTGGTTAATTTAAGCATTCTTTAATTAAATCCCCCAATGACGTTACTACCAATCAGCGCTCTGTGTTGTGGCGTCAGAACTTGTCCCGCTTCAAAACAACTTAATCCTCGATCCTCCCTTAGATTCACATGTTCCACACGCAGGTTCATTACAGCGAAACTTTCAGTGTCATTATTTCACCACAGTTTAGATATTCTGACCAGGCGAGGAACATTTAATATTATCCTAAATGTTAACAACACATAATTTTGGCAATTAAATATGGGCTTTTTCAGTCATCTCTTCCAAAGAAATAGTACGTAGGTAGGAAGTTTTAAGGCAACTTGACCTGCTGTTTGTTCAGATTCCTCATAAACTCCAGGTCTAGTTGTTCTGACCAGGCGAGGTACCTTCTATATTATACTAGATGTTAACACCTTGTCATTTTGGCAATTAAATGTGGGTTATTTTATTCATAATCAAGTGGGTAGGAAGTGTGAGGCAACTTGACCTGCTGTTTGTTCAGATTCCTCATAAACTCAAGGTCGAGATGCATTTGAATTTGCTTTTCTACTTACATACCTGGTGTAACTCAGTTTGAATCACTGGCCCTCCCAAATTGGTGCCAACTAAAAGTATAGGACTGTTTTTTAAGGATAGGAAGGTATTTACTTGTAAAATAACGTATACTGAAAGCTTAAAGATAATGGAAAATGTAATGTTTTGGGAAGAAAGACGACACCTACTCTTTTTGGTGTTAAAATACCATCATTTTCACCCCCAACGATGTCCTAAAGCCAAAGACCTGATCAAACTAATTATTTTCCAAAACACTTTTACAGTATTGAACCTACAATGTCTTCTAACTCAATCAAAGCTTCAACATATATACCAGAAAGAAGACGTGGCGTGTATTCACGTTCGTTTTGTTTGTTTTCTTGGTCACAGTTAATCCATATATCTATATCTATACCAGTAATAATCTAATCCCACACGTGGAAAACAGCTTCTCACATGGACTTGAGACACAACAAGCAGATCGTTGCCTCTCAAAGCTGGAGCAGGCGTGCTGAGGTTTAAGAGGAATTAGCCAGATCCTAGCAGATTAATCTTTGACATTCTCTTCTCAGTAAATTGGGTGACGTGAACAAGGACAGACTCTGGGATGGAGGAGGGGAGGTGTGAGAGGTTTTCTAGATTTTTCGGGGGGGGCCCATGTGACTGGAAAGAGGAGGATGTTGGGATTAGAGAAGATATAAAAGCACAACACAGGACTGCGCACGTCAATAACTCAAAATAGAGAATAGAGAAGCTGATCGGCGGTGGCCTCTTGGGATATCTGTGACAACAGGTGAGAGAAAACTTACTCAGGATATTGAGAGTCCAATTAGACATCAGATGAGGATGAATAAGAGTTTAACAAATGGGGAATGGCTAAAACTGTAATAACTTGAATGCAAACTGTAAAGAAGAGAAGAATGACTTAAGACTGTCTTGGCTGGCAATATGGTTTGATGTTGGACTTTAAATGGCTTAACGTGGATTGAAAACTGTTGGTTGGAGTATAGATAAAGTCAAGTTTACATGTGCAATTGAAACAAACAAAGAAAGGCAGTAGTACAAAGTTGAAGTCGGTGACAGGTGTGTGTTTTTTCTAATACCCTCGCGTAAAGAGGATTAACATTAAGGGGTTTGTTAAGAGCTTTTTTTTGTTTTCCTTATTGTGTCTCCACGCAGAATCATTGGAAGATAAATCCTCAATCTAGATCTGTTACTGCTAATGCAACCAATGCTTCTGTTTCAACTTGGGTTGGTTTTCCATCACGGACACATTGCTTTAAGGGGATTATCAGGGTCGGACGTCAAAGGAAGGGGGAAATTGTGGAGCTCAGTCAGGATCCTGCTAATGATCGGGTGGGAGATGAGGACAAGAGGGTCAGAGAGGAAGGACTTGCTCCAGATATTGGTAGCTTCGTGATACATTCAGCCGCAAAAGATGTGAACGTTTGCTTATGATCAAGTTTCAAGATTCAAGGCTTTTATTGTCATGATGTGTACAGTGTAGTTATGACAATGAACATCTTAGGTCACAGGCTCCTCCAACAGTGCAACACAATAAAACAGATAAAATAGTGCAAGTAAATAGAATAAAATAGAATATAATAGAAACAGAATATGATAGAAACTGTGCAGAATAGTCTAGTAATTGGAATATTGATATATGTGAGTTGCAAACAGATGAATGTTATGTATGTTCTTGTGACTTTATTAGCAAGTGTTATAAGTACCAAACATCATCAGGGTGTCTAAGTTGAAAAGGCTGAGGTCCGAATGCATATTCGTGATTTCTGAGAAGGGCAATTTGCCGTCTGCGCCATCAGAGCGGGATTAAAGCTAATCTGGCTGTAGGAACTAATCTATGTAATCTCCGCTGATTAGCATTGAAAGCTGGGAGGAAACAGGATTAGCAGAGGGCATCAGAGGGGGGGGGGTAGATGTAGAGTAAATGTCAGTGTGGTGACCCTTGCCTTCTGTCTTTTCAGAGACCCTCAGCAGAAATGAACAGCGCCCCCCCTGCAGGAAGTGCTCTGACCCCTGGGAGCACAACGGGCCCCACCACGCCCAAAAAGGGACCCCCCAAATTCAAGCAAAGGCAGACGCGTACATTCAAGAGCAAGGCACCAAAGCCAGGCCAGAAAGGGTAAGAGAAACAACTCATATTGAAAGTCAAAGTCAACTTTATTGTCAATCTTACAATTTGTGTGTACAGAGAGATCGAAATGCCGTTTCCTACAATCCCGAATACAAAAACAAATATATATAAAAATATGTATATACCTATATATACACAATCAAAGACACATTTATACATATGCACACATTAAGACCTAAATAAAAGCACAACAATCAGTATATACAAAATAACAGTCAAAATATTCAAAATATTCAACACAATACAGTAAATGCAACCAAATCAAGGCAAGTTTATTTATGTAGCCCCATTAAATGCTTTTGTAGTGACCACCATGATATCCATTTGTTTTAGTCTTTAGTCTGTGATTCACTGAGCTGACTGATGAAAAGTCGCTTGTTGTTTAGAGAAAAAATTAAATAAATGTCCAGATGCGATTGAAAAGTAAAATATGCTTGTTTATTCCAAAAAGGCAGTGGAAAATAAATAAATAAAGGTTTTCAAACAAACTTTTTCTCATATAAACTGATACTTCAAATAGCAGCTAGCAGCAGTATTTAAAGGTCACCTATTATGCAAAATCCACTTCTTCATGTCTCTTCTACATCAACATGTGTCCCCTCTTCTTCATGTCTTTTCTACATCAACATGTGTCCCCTCTTCTTCATGTCTCTTCTACATCAACATGTGTCCCCTCTTCTTCATGTCTCTTCTACATCAACATGTGTCCCCTCTTCTTCATGTTTCTTCTACATCAACATGTGTCCCCTCTTCTTCATGTCTCTTCTACATCAACATGTGTCCCCTCTTCTTCATGTCTCTTCTACATCAACATGTGTCCCCTCTTCTTCATGTCTCTTCTACATCAACATGTGTCCCCTCTTCTTCATGTCTCTTCTACATCAACATGTGTCCCCTCTTCTTCATGTCTCTTCTACATCACCATGTGTCCCCTCTTCTTCATGTCTCTTCTACATCAACATGTGTCCCCTCTTCTTCATGTCTCTTCTACATCAACATGTGTCCCCTCTTCTTCATGTCTCTTCTACATCAACATGTGTCCCCTCTTCTTCATGTCTCTTCTACATCAACATGTGTCCCCTCTTCTTCATGTCTCTTCTACATCAACATGTGTCCCCTCTGTGTGAAGAGACTCTGAAAGTTTCAGGAACAAAGATTCTCTCTCTTTTTGTCCTGATCCATTTATATAAAAACCTGTCTGAAAATGAGCTGATCAGATTTTGGCCACTTTGTGATGTCATAACGATGTGTTGGCTTGTGTAACCATTAGCCAATCACCAACCAAGGTAACCCCCCCCCCCACCTTATCACCTGAATCTCCTCCTAGAGCACCATTGTGTTCTTTTTAACCAAATATCTCTCGAGGGGCGTGGGGAGGGGCTCCTTATTTTCATCTAAAGTAACAGACAGAGAATCAGCACTTTGGAAACAGGGCTGAAACAGAGGGGATTATGGGATGCTGCAATGATCTGTTTGGTGTTTCAGCCAATCAGAGACATGTTCTGTATATATCTGAGACCTGTCATATATTGATGAAAAACAGTATAATAGGGGACCTTTAACTCACCTTCCTGCTTGTGTCCTGTCCTCCAGATTTGGCGATGATATCCCCGGCATGGAGGGTCTCGGCACAGACATCACGGTGGTTTGCCCATGGGAAGCCTTCGGCGACATGGAGCTCAGCGACTTGGCCAAATACGGCATCATCTAAACCTGCTGCCTTCCTCTCCTTCCTGCACCTTTCCTCCGTCTAATCCCCCCCTCCCGGCTCGGCACGCCGCGATAAGGCTGCCCGAGAAACCCCCTAATGCCCTCTCGTCTAACTACCTCATGCTTCGCTCCACTAAGTGGATAGAAAAGCATAAATATGAAGTTATTTTTCTATTATTACATGATACTGTTTATATTATATATATATATATACTTGAAATGAGAAGACGAGAAAAACCACCTCCACCTCCGTTATTCCCCTCATCCATCTTTGATAGTCCTTTCCTTTCCTTTCCACCTCTCCCCCTTCGATACTCCTCACCCACGGCAATGGACGCAAACAAAACACTAGTCATTACTAAAGTGTATTTGCTTCTAGCTGTCTATAAAAATGTAAATATTTTGTTCTCAGCATTTTGACCTCGTACTTCCATCCTACCTTTTGTACTTCCTCCTAGCTTTTAATTTGCGTTGTATTTTGTACTCCTTGTGAACACAAGGTTACTGTGAACACCAGGGGATGCAAGGAGAGCGTGCAATATTGCTGTAACGGTGAAAACTACAAAGTGTTTTTCACTTGATCATGGAGGATTAACTCCCTTTTATCCCAAGTCTATCTCCTTGCTGCTATCTGTCCCTCTCCTTAGAGCAAACAAAAGCATGTCCTGTTTGTTTTGTGCTCCAAGCACAACACCACACATAATGTACTGTGAACAGTCCTGATAGTAGATAGTAAAATGAGAATATTTTAATTAATCTTGTTGTCTGTGTCTTTTATTTCTGGAACACCTCACAATGCTGGAAGGTGTTAAACATATCAAACTATCATGACTACAAATGACTAACAAGGGCCTTGGATCAGAAACAAAATGACTCTCATTCCCGGCAGTCTTCTAACTCAAATTGATGACATTTCCTTCTGTGTCTCCTGACCACAATGATGTCTGAGTACATCTCATAATAATTACCGCTCACTTTAAGGCTTCCTGACATCAACCCACTCCGACAAGGCTCTCTGTTGGAAAAGGAAAACAACAAGAAATGATATCAACAGTTCTTTATCATCTCACATAGAACAATAAATGATCTGGTAGCAAGTGTAAGATCCATCTCACAGATCAAACCCCTGATTGTTGTCATACAGTAAGTTCTGGGACCACCGCATCACAGACATTATTAATCGTATTTTTATATAGACTCATATAATCCTTTTCTACTGTATTTTAACGAGAGTCTCCAGCTACGCTAACAGCAACAACCGAGCTAAAAGCTAACAGCAGCATGCTAGCATCCTCACAGAGACAATGCTAACATGTTTACCATTTTAGTTTAGCATGTTATTAGCTCCTAACACAGTGGAGAGTTGATGGGTGAGTCTTGAGTTTTCCAGTGTAGGTAGACACACCCTTTTTGAATGATATCAACCCAAAACATGGGGGTTAGCAGTGGATATGAGCGTTGTATACATGGTTCAGAAGAGGCCTTATACACCTATGAGTATGATCATAATGCCTTTATCATATATTCACATGGTGGCTCTCCTTTACATAAGGCAGTGATATCTAGCAGCTGTAGTTTAATGAAGAGGTCCGCTGACGAAACATAGAGATTGATAAATTACGCTTAGGGTTTGTGGGTGAAAGCGGGAAGGAATGATGAATGAGTCAAACAAAAGACTTAACTGACGTATCTTATGTGGCGTACTTTAACCCAATCCATGATCTTTTAACTAAAACTAGCCATGTAGATTTGGCTTGTAACTGAAAACTGAAACCTAATGAAACTGCCACCCTGTCATAACGTTCATAATGCACTTACTTCCCTATTGGTTAGTTTAGTTTGCCCTTTCTGAAGTTTTTAAGTAGTACTTCTAATGTCCTTTAATAGGGAAATGCATCAAACCTGCAATAACTCCAATGGCCAACAGGGGGTGACACAACTAGTCTGGGAAAGAAATACAGATTGTAGAGAAGTCTATGAGTAAGACACTGGGGGTGTTTCTCAATCGCGAGTAAAGCTGCTTCCGAGCCACTATTTCAAGCATACTACGTCATCGAGTGCCGCCGAAGTACTGTTCCAATCTCCAGTATACTTGGAAATCTACCGAGCCCGGCGTACTCCGTTTGGAGAAATATCGAGTGTGCACATGAGTAGACTTCGCGGCCTTAAAATCCCCACAATGCTTTGCGCACGGACCAATTTCCCCAAATCTGTGGCGGAAGATGTAAGGCGGGGCCTCTCATATGACGCACACCGCGATTGAGAAACACCCAGGGTGTTTCTCAATCTCGAGTACGCTTGCTTGGTAGCACATGTCTGCCGAGCATCTTGCTTCAGAAGCGAGGCAAGAATACTTCCTGGCATTCGGAAAACGAAGAGTGGAACACGCTAGCAAGTGTGCAGGTGTGCGTCATATGAGAGGCCCCGCCTTACATCTTCCGCCACAGATTTGGGGAAATTGGTCCGTGCGCAAAGCATTGTGGGGATTTTAAGACCACGGAGTCTACTCATGTGCAGCCTCGATATTTCTCCAAACGGAGTACGCCGGGCTCGGTAGATTTCCAAGTATACTGGAGATTGGAACAGTCCTTCGGCGGCACTCGATGACGTAGTATGCTTGAAATAGTGGCTCTGAAGCAGCTTTACTCGCGATTGAGAAACACCCACTCTTTCACTCGTGATTTATAACCTCAGTTAACATTTCCTGGATAACGTTATGGTCTTAATTTCTTAACACTACCATATAGCTTCTGTCAGTCTATGAAAAAGACACTGGGTGTTTCTCAATGTCGAGGAAGGCTGCTCCAGAGCCACTATTTCAAGCATACTACGTCATCGAGTGCCGCCGAAGGACTGTTCCAATCTCCAGCATACTTGGAATTCTACCGAGGCCGACGTACTTCGTAGCGAGAAATTTCGAAGGCTGCACATGTGTAGACTCCGCAGTCTTAAAATCCCCACAATGCTTTGCGCACGGACCAATTTCCAAATCTTTGGCAGAAATAGCGCTCCATTTAAGGCGGGGCCTCGCATATGACGCACACCTGCACACCTGTTAGCCTGTTCCACCATTCTTTGTTTTCTGAGGCTAGGAAGGCTTTTTGCCTCGCTTCTGAAGCAACTGACTCGGAAGACATGTGCTACCAAGCAAGCGTCCTCGACATTGAGAAACACCCACCCTTTCACTCAGGATTTATAACCTCAGTTAACATTTCCTGGATGACTTTATGGTCTTAATTTCTTAACACTACCATATAGCTTCTGTCAACATCCTTTCTATGCTTGCCATGTTTCCATTTAGATACTTTTAGCCTCATTTTGAAGTATCCCAGTAGAAGTGTATTCACTCTGAATCAGTTGATTAATACGCCAATAATCATAGTCAATTTCATAGTAGTCAAAACAACTTCTAATGTCCTTTAATAGGGAAATGCATCCAACCTGCAATACTTCCAATGGCCAACAGGGGGCGACTCAACTAGTCTGGGAAAGAAATACAGATTGTAGAGAAGTCTATGAGTAAAACACTCTTTCTCCTGATTTATAACCTCAGTTAACATTTCCTGGATGACTTTATGGTCTTAATTTCTTAACACTACCATATAGCTTCTATCAACATCCTTTGTAGCTTCTGTCAGTATCCCAGTATAAGTTTATTCACACTGAACCAGTTGATTAAGATGCCAATAATTCAATTTTCTTCCAAATGTGTACTTCAAATTCACTTAACATTGAATGAATTGGCTACTGTTGTCCTGTGGGATTGCTATGGTTTCTCTTTAAACATTATGACCCCCTATCATCACTGTCTGAGAATCTGAGCACCAACGCTTCACTTCTTTCCATTTCAGCCCGACATGATGACAGTTATTGTGAAACTTCAAATACATGACGTCATGCTTAAATTCCTCTGGGATTAGGCAACACATAAGGGAGGAGACTCTAAACTTAAAATATTTACTACATAGATATTTGTATATACTGTACACACATGCATCCATGCTGCTCCTACATATTGATGATTAAAAGAGATACAATTATGTTTCACATGACAAAGGGACGCTACAGTTGAAGAATGACTTAAGATCCAACCGAACACACCCTATTAACTCTGTGCTTGTACGGGCACGAGTGGAGGATTTTACGTATGGGCTTGTTGAGGACAACAGTTGAAAGAAATCTCTTCTTCCTGACGCAACTCCTCCCCGAGGCTGAATCACAGATCCCAAATGTTGTTGCTGTGGTATTGCAGTAACTAAGGTGACGGCAGATTCTGTTTCTGCACCCAAAGGAGACTGGGATGAGTAATCTGGACTCTCACCTGCAGGTTTGGGGAGTTACGGATTACATGTAACTGGATTAGGTAGACAAGATACAAAAATAAGTTACTGTATTCCCTTACAGTTACATTCAAAACATCAGATTACCGTTGTATTTCTAAGAAAAAGGGGATTACTTGCAGGATTACAAGCGAAAATCTATTTGTTACAGGTAGACGTACTGAAAGGTCTGAAAGCCTACTTTTTATTCTTTAGTTAAAAAATCTATACATATATAATTTATTTCGCTTTTAATACATGTTTCAAACCAAAACAGCCTTTGTAAACTTGACTATTTTGTAGACCTAGCCTTCAATTCCACACATTTTTAAATAAAATATCCAGTTTTCTTACATTATTGTTGTTTTACATAATACACTTAAGTAAAAAACACTTTATTGTTATTTATTTTCTCTTGTATTTATTTGCATTGCATTTAATCGTCAGGTAATCCAAAAGTAACGTAAAGTAATCAGGTTACATTCCTTTTATTTTAGATTAGATTACTGATTACATTTCTAAACGTGCAACTAGTAATTGTAGCCTAATTTATATACTATCCTATAAACTACATACAACAACGATTTTTATATGGGATGTGTTTCTGCTACTGTAGTATGAGAATATATTTCTGTAGTATTTCAGTTTTTATAGAACATGTATGAACACACTGCTGCATCATCTATCTGTCTGTCTGTCTGTCTGTCTGTCTGTCTGTCTGTCTGTCTGTCTGCCTGCCTGTCTGTCTGTCTGTCTGTCTGTCTGTCTGTCTGTCTGTCTGTCTGTCTATCCATCTATCCAAGTTTTAAAGTATCCCTCCCAACACTGCTCACCTGAACTCCATAACAACCAGTAGGATCTCACCTGTTATGATTAAGTGTTTCACGTTAATATTTCCTACTCGACACACTCTGGTTATCAAAATCAGGGATGCAAATTCTGATGGGAAATGGATTTATAGCTAGGGAGGGGTGAAATCTCCTGTGTGTTAGTGTGTATCATCAGCTCCAGGTGTGTGAGCCCCACCTTTATTCTGAGGGAGGGAGGACACACACACACACACACACACACACACACACACACACACACACACACACACACACACACACACACACACACACACACACACACACACACACACACACACACACACACACACACACACACACACACACACACACACACACACACACACACACACACACACACACACACACACACACACACACACACACACACACACACACACACACACACACACACACACACACACACAGACAGAGACAGAGACAGAGACAGAGACAGGAAAGCTATGAGTAGGGATGCAGGTTTCTCTGCTTTTTGCCCAACCTGTTGATGCAACACACAACCTTTTCTCCCAGTGGCTTCACACTCGATTCGTCATCTTCGAGCTCTCACTGTTAACCATCGGGCCTGCGGAGATATGGGAACATTATCGGGATAGGAGGCGCATTTAGCAGCTGTTTATTCACACACTTTCAGAGAAACTTTGAAGACTTTTGGAAGTAGATTTTTCTAAGTGTTTCCAAGTGTTAAAAGGTAAGTTTCCCTGTTTGTTTTTTTAAAGGATATTAAAGGTTTGGTCCTGCTTTGGAGATGGCATCTTATTGTCAAGTGTAGATAGTTTAAGCCAACAAACATCAACAACAATTGTCCTTATAGTACCGAATAACCAAATATCTGCACACGAATATGTCTTATAACAGCTATGGCTAATAATCTTTTTAAGCCATCGCTTTACAAGTCTGTACCTTATGGTAACATCTCTGCATTTTACATATTAAGGCGAGAGTAAGGGTAACATAATGAGGGTCATATTTACAGAGAGACAATCCCACTAAAGGTCATCTTTGATTCTCTGACGCTGAAACAAAGGCTCTGTTTCAGGCTTGGAGGAAGTGACAATCAGATGTGAATATCTCTCACTTGAATCTATGAATCACAACGCCCTGCTGCAGTGTTATGAGCTGATGCAGCAGAAAAGTTATACCTTTCATGTCTACTTCATTGTCCCAGCCTCACCTCCATGTTGCATTTATTTATTTTTGCTTGTTTCTCACACACTCACACACTCCTCTGCCTTGTTCTGGCATGTTTGTAAGCTTCTCCTCCAGCGTTGTTACGTCTCAAGCTGTCAAGCCACTCTCCCTTTGTTTTCTCCACACTGTGACCTCTGTGTTATCCTGTCTTACATTTCATCTCGCTTGTTTTTTTTACTTGTCACTCAACGAGCTGGGAATGTGCTGGAAGGCAAATATAAATAACATTTCTGCAAAACGTACTTATGGTCCCAAAAGTCTCCAACAATGTTAAAACCTAAAGAAATCTGTCTTTCTTATCAAGATAATGGTTCTGTTTCCTTTGGACGCCTGTTATTGCAATGCTTTCCCTTTGCACATGCTTCAGTGTTGTGGTTGTCGGACAGAAGTTGTTATAAATTGACTTGTCATCCAGTTTAAAGCCACAATTTAATGCTAAAATTAAGAAATCGTGGTCGTTTTTTTACTTTTATTTAATCTCAATTGAACTTAAAGGTGGGGTAGGTAATTCACTTCAGAAACACTTTTTGTTATATTCCATGGAATGCTCTTAACATCCCGATAGCAATGAATACATGAAATGCTTTGACAATAAATATATACAAATATTTCATCTGTGGAAGCCGTGGCGCTGTAAAAAGCACGACCAATCATCTGAGCCGGCCCGGCTAAAATAACTGGATGGCCTACCTGCCTGTCAGCCTTCCATCTGTGCACAAACTTATCTCGTGCCCTCATTGGTCATGTGCGCGTTCGTGTGTGTTGGAGGAGGGGCTCTGTAAGGAAGTCTGAAGGAAGGGGCAGATTTTTTTCGGTTGTGTATTTTCAAATTCTAGCGCACTCGAGCTGGTTTATCCATTCTTACCGACCCTACCTTTAAGTTATTAGAGAAACAAGGCTAGCAACTTTAGCGTTAGCGTCGGAGAAACACGCTAGAAGTTGCTTTTTTTCAGTCTTATTACAAATTGTTTATTACCACGTCTGTGTGTAGCGGAGAGGAAGAGATCTCTTTCGATAATTTACCCCCATAACAACCTTCTTGTTGTTCTTCATGTCTGTATCTTACATTTTTCTAAGAGTAACAAGCTAAGCTAACGTTAGCTGTTAGCTTGCAGCCCCTCATATGTCTGCCAAAACAGCCTTGAAGCAAGACTGATTTTTAACATGTTTGGTGTTTTAACCGTCTTATATCACCTAGTACAATTATTTTAGAGAACCTTTGTAGATAAGGTTAACACCTCCTAAACAAAGAACAATGAAGGAAATTAAACCGGGGGAAAGCCAACGAGCAATTTAGGGAATGACGTTGAACTTCACGACTCCACCCAACTTTCTCTTTTGTTTTGGTTTTAATTGAGGTAAAGCTAATGGCAGAAAGTTACATATTGTGCTTTAAAGGGGACCTATCATGCAAAATGCACTTTTGTACGTCTTTTATACATGAATATGTGTCCCCGGTGTTCCAGGGAACTCACCAAGTGTCAGAAAACACAACCCTCTCTATTTTCCTCCATACCCAAATCTCTAAAAAAGGGGCTGCAACGGATCTGATCAAAACTGATCCAGATTTGAACACTGTCCTGACGTCAGGACGGTGGCGCTACGGCTATTGGGCCAACTCCACCAATCAGGAGGAGACAGCCACGGCCATTGCCGTTAGAAAGCGCTGGAGACGCTGTAGTACATATGCCAGGCCTGTAGATGGTGCTGTTCTCACAGAATCAACCCTTGCAAAAACAGGGGTAAAAAAAGTGCAAATTGAGCGAAATGAGGCATGGCTAAAATGCATGATCTGTTTGGTATTTTGAAAAAGAAAAAGTATAAATATGCCTTATATAGGTATGGTCGTACACTATATTATTAAAATATAGCATGATAGGTCCACTTTAAAGGTAACTTTCATTTAATGTTGAAATATGTTGTGGTTTTTGTTCCAGGGGGAAACATCTTCCAACTCTAAGGACACGTAAAACCAAAGACTGAATCCCTGAGTGGATTACTAAACTGAACATGGCCTTTTCATCCGAGAAGCACAAATCCCTCTTCCCCCTCGTCCTCTTCCTCCTAGTCTTCGTCTCTCTCACCTGTTTATGCCAGTCGGCCAACACCAGCTCCTCGAATACAACCAACAAAATCCAAACCACTTCCTCTCCGTCCTCAAATGGCACCCTGAAGAGAATACCTGGCTGCAAAACAGGGCTGAACCCCATCTATAGGTAAGACTCTCACAACATTGGATAAAGGGTCTCAAAACGTACCTGTTCTCTCTTGCTTTCAACCTATAATCCTGCACTCCTACCCCCCTTCTTCTACTTATAGCTCAGGACTGTTTTTGTTGTTATTTGTTCTCTTATTTAAAGGGTCATTGAGCCCTGGGAAAAGCGCTTTATAAATACGATACGTTAATACTGTATTGTCAGATCAAGTTTGGCATTTTTTTTGCATCACAGCAGCTCCATTTGCAACATCGATAAGGACAGATATTAAAACATGACACGATCAACCGAAGAGAAACTTGCTCAAGACCCTTTAACGTACATGTTATTATTATTATCTAACAAAGTCAACTTTATTGTCAATCTTTCAGTTTGTGTGTACAGACAGAGAGATCGAAATACCGTTTTCCACAATCCCGAATACAAAACAAATATATATAAAAATATGTATACAAATATGTATATCCTATATATATATACACAATCAAAGACACATTTATACATATGCACACATTAAGATAAAAACACAACAATCAATATATACAAAATAACAGTCACTTCAATATCTTTGGGAAATGTACATTGACTTTTACTTTGTATACATTGATTGTTGTGCTTTTAGTTATGTCTTAAAATATGATGTGTTATGTTTTACTCCAGGTACCTGTGTGACCGGCGGGCAGCGTGGGGCATCGTGCTGGAGACCCTGGCCTCGTCTGGCTTCCTGTTCAGCATCGCTCTGTTCCTCGGCCTCCTCCTCTGGTCCCTCTGGCTCTGTGTCTCCTTCAAGGACCAGCGCAGCAGCATCGGAGGAACCGTGTTCTCCATGTCTCTGTTCCTGCTCGCCACCGCCGGGATCTTCGCCATCACCTTCTCCTTCATCATCAGAAACACCTCTCAGACCTGCCCCACCAGACTCTTCCTCTTCAGCATCTTCTTCTCCCTCGCCTTCTCCTGTTTGCTGGCTCGATGCCTCGCTTTATTGGGTTTTGCAGCAGCTCGAGGATGGGGGGAACCGGCCCTCGCTTTGGGACTCTTCACCGTCCAGGTCAGTGGTGTAAAGAGCAGAGATGGCAAAAGTACACACATCCTTTAGTCAAGTAGAAGTACAGATACTCGTGTTTAAAAATACTCTGGTAAAAGTAGAAGTACTGACTAAACTTCTTTACTCAAGTAAAAGTAAAGAAGAATGGGCTTTGAAATGTACTTAAGTAAAAAGTACCCATAACTACCATCTGTTTTAAAGAGTACCTGACATCCCTTTATATTAATAGAACAATAATGTCATTGTTAGCTAATGAATGTTTCCATGCTGAACAACGGCAACATGACAACGTTTTCATTGGTCCCTCTTCTTTAGAGAAGACCAGGAAATGATGGATACACGGATCGTGTTCAAATCAATAGGCACGCAATGACTCTAAATAATAATGATCACGCCACCAAACACACATTCAAACGTAAGTATTGATACAAGTCACATTTGATATGGAGCTGACGTTCAACATTACTCAATTAATCCCACTATCAGTCAGAAAATGTGTCTGAAATGGACCAAGCTGCATAATAAGTACTTTTACTTTTGGTACTTTAAAGGGGACCTATCATGCAAAATGCACTTTTGTACGTTTTTTATACATGAATATGTGTCCCCGGTGTTCCAGGGAACTCACCAAGTGTCAGAAAACACAACCCTCTCTATTTTCCTCCATACCCAAATCTCTAAAAAAGGGGCTGCAACGGATCTGATAAAAACTGATCCAGATTTGAACACTGTCCTGACGTCAGGACGGTGGCGCTACGGCTATTGGGCCAACTCCACCAATCAGGAGGAGACAGCCACGGCCATTGCCGTTCGAAAGCGCTGGAGACGCTGTAGTACATATGCCAGGCCTGTAGATGGTGCTGTTCTCACAGAATCTGCCCTTGCAAAAACAGAGCTAAACATTTTCAAATTGAGCGAAATGAGGCATGGCTAAAATGCATGATCTGTTTGGTATTTTGAAAAAAAAAAAGTATAAATATGCCTTATATAGGTATGGTTCTACACTATATTATTAAAATATAGCATGATAGGTCCACTTTAAGTACATTTTGAAGCTAATTATTTTCTACTTTTACTTCAGTACAGTTTTGAATGCAGGACTTTTACTGTAACAGAGTATTCCTACACTCTAGTACTTCTACTTTTACTCAAGTACAAGATCTGAGTACTTCTACATTTACTCAAGTACAAGATCTGAATAGATTTGGGTCAATGCATCCCAAGCCCAGGAGTGTTATTCTGTTCATCAATCTCCTATAAAGTTTTGTTGCTCACAGTGAAAGAGTGCTTCTTGGTTGGTCTGTAATCAAAGGGTTGCAACACTTTCTCTCCATTCAATAAAGTCAGAGTGAAGCATCCTCTGTGCTCCAGTCAATCCTCTCAGTAAACACAGAGCTGATCCCAGATCTAAAGCACGCTGAAGGCTCTTTGAGCAGGTTTTCTCTCACTGATCGTGCCGTTATGTTAAATGTTTGTTGTGTTTCATGTATTGTGTCTTGATATTTGTCTGTTGATGTTACACATGGAGTTGCTCTGATGCAAGGAGCATTTCAGACTTGATCTGACCATTAAAGTATTATCATATCGTATCGTACCTCCTGTTCAGTGTTTCATCTCGTTAACGTACAAGATCTGAGTTTCTTCTCCCACTTCTTGTCCAGGTTATCATCTCTACTCAGTGGCTGATCCTAGTCTTAGTTCGGGACAAGAAGCCGTGCGAGTACAGCCAGGAGGAGTTCGTCATGATGCAGATCTACGTCATGTGTATCCTGGTCATCAGCTTGATCCTCTCCCTTCACTTCCTGTGTCAATCCTGCAACACGTACACCTACAGGTTTAAATATCCTAATTCTGGGTGGTTTTAAAGGTCAAAGATGGGTTTGGGTAACAGTAAAACAGGGAACATGTGTTGTCTGGGGATGCACAATGATTGAAAGAGAAGGATGAAAGGAATATAAAAAGGTTAGAAAACTGTAAAAATAACTATAATTTCACAGGAAGACTAGGGGTAGAGGAATGTGAGAATTTGGTTAGGGGTATTGAACAAATATCTGGAACAAACTCCCAGAAACCTGCAGATCCGCTGCAACTCTGAGTACTTTTAAATCCAGCCTGAAGACTTTTCTTGTTGCCGCTGCTTTTAATTGAACTATTCACATCTCACACTGCACTGTAACTTTTATCCATGTACCTGTGTTATTCATGTTTTATTATCTTTGCTTTTTCTAATGTGTTTTATGCTCTTAAAGGTCACCTATTATGCAAAATCCATATGCATCAACATGTGTCCCCTCTGTGGAAAGAGACTCTGAAAGTTTCAGGAACAAAGATTCTCTCTCTTTTTGTCCTGATCCATTTATATAAAAACCTGTCTGAAAATGAGCTGATCAGATTTTGGCCACTTTGTGATGTCATAACGATGTTTTGGCTTGAGTAACCATTAGCCAATCACCAACCAAGGTAACCCCCCCCCCCCCCACCTTATCACCTGAATCTCCTCCTAGAGCACCACATTGAGTTCTTTTTAACCAAATCTCTCTCAGAGGGGCGTGGGGAGGGGCTCCTTATTTTCATCTAAAGTAACAGACAGAGAATCAGCACTTTGGAAACAGGGCTGAAACAGAGGGGATTATGGGTAATGCTGCAATGATCTGTTTGGTGTTTGGAGCCAAACACTTCAGAGACAGGTTTTGTATATATCTGAGAGCTATAATATATTGATGAAAAACAGTATAATAGGGGACCTTTAATGTCTTTCATTTTGTAAAGCACTTTGAATTGCCTTATGTTGAAAAGTGCTATAAAAATAAACTTCCTTTGCCTTACAGTTACACCGGTGCCGTCCGCCAGCACAGTCGATTTCACGCCACGTTGCTTTTCCTCACGCTGCTGGTTTCCGCCTGTATCTGGGTGGTGTGGATCACGATGTTGGTCAGAGGGAATCCAGAGTTGGACCGTAGGCCTCGATGGGACGACCCGGTGATTTGCATCGCTTTGGTGGCAAACGGTTGGGTGCTTCTGATGGGCTACGGCTTGTCCCAGATCGCCTTCTTCTGCCGAGGGGAGGCCAAGTCCAAGGACCTCCCTCTGAGCTTTGCAGGATGGACCAGTCCCAGCGCTGATATTCCAGGATTGAACAGCCCCAAGGAAGGGAATGAGAACGGGAGCTTTGAGAGCGATAGTGAGACCAGAAGAGGTGAGAAACTGAGTGGTGCTTAGGAGTATAAAAGGTGGTGAGGTAAGCTAAGGGGCATTTAAAAAGGTGAAGGTTGCAACAAACACATTTTCTCTTGTTGCGTTTCTATAATTTGAGGTAAAGTTAACAGCGTTTATTAACAAGATGGCACGATAAGTCTGCAAAAGTACTGGGCCGTACTCTTACCTCAAATTATAGAAACGCAACCATAATTTTCAATTTGGTTAAATAAAATGTCAGAAAAATAGGACGCAATGCTCATCACACCTTCACCTTTCTTGTTTGGTCAGAACTAATGTCTTGGAACAGATTCGAAGTATCGGAAGCGTCCTGATTTCTGTGAGTAGTTTGAGTAGACTCTTGTTAAATGCAGGTAAACAACAAAGACTTTAAAAGCAAAGACTATGTGCCTCTTTCTTAACTGTGGTTACTCCTATGTAATAAAAGCAAACGATAAAACCTGAGTTAGCCACCTGACTCCCAAGTTTGCTAACGCTAGCTCACATTATAGCCACCATAAACTAGTAGTGTTCAGAAAAGACCAAGTTAGGGTGAAGCTACAAAACCCTTAACTTATGCAATGGTTTTTAACAATTATGAATTCAACTTTTCATATAGAACAGGCACGAAATTGGCCTTTTTTTTCTCACTTTAGTTGTGATTTGAGGGGCTTTTAGTCAAATAACAACACGGCTAAATGTAGAGATCCAATGCTTCTTTACGAGCAAACAGGACAGCAAGATCTTTTATAAGTTGACTAACATTGTCCACCACTATTACTCATACAAGACCAAGTTAGGCTGTAGCAACACAGCTCTTAAATTACACAATATGTTTTAATGCTTGAATTTCACTTTCCATTTGTAAAGGGTAAGAAAACAAGTTTGTATTTCTTTGTTACCAGTTTTGCTTTAAGGGGCTTTTAGTCAAATAACAACACAGACATATGTATAAAATAATATGTTACCCTACAAGCAAGCAGCACAGCAAGATGTATTTGAAGTGTGCTATGCTAAGCTAACATTAGCCACCATAAGCTAGTGGTCATAGGGGACCAATTTGAAGAAAACGCCCAAATTATGCTTGTGTTTTAATGCTTATGAGTTCAACTTTTTTATGTATTACGGGAAAAAATAGCTATCATTATGGTTGCCATTCAATTATACTACTTAATGTCGAAATGCTATGCTAACCTACATACAAACAGCACAGCAGGATCTATCTGAAGGATGCTAAGGTAAGCTAACATAAGACACAAGCTACCTAGCCCTTAGCTATCAGTCATACGAAACCAAGTTAGGCTGTAGCAACAAAACCACTAAATTATGCAATGGTGTTTTGATACTTATACATTCAACTTTTCATTTATTAGGAGGAAAATAATGGTATTTATTTTGTGTTTGGTGTCGAATAACACAGCTGAATGTAAAAATCTTATGCTACTCTAAGAGAAATATTCACTGACAGCTGAGATATTACTCCAAGTCAGAATGAATATGGAGCGGACGTCCACGTTACTAAATGACTCCCATTATCAGTCATCCCAGCTCTCACTGCGAGCCTTTATGATGAACAGTTTATAATGAAGTGATAATTAGTGAACTGTATCGTGTGTTTCTCCGCAGGCAGGAGGACGGAGCAGTCGCTGAGATCTCCCTACGAGTCGGGATACTCCATGACAGTGAGTAATAAAACCGTTAGGATTAACAATCTCTCTTCACACACTCTGCAATTAGACCGCCGTGACCTTTCACTACTGTCAGAGAGGGCAAAAGTACTCACATCCTTTACTCAAGTAGAAGTACAGATAGCCTTCTCGTGTTTAAAAATACTCTGGTGAAAGTAGAAGTACTGACTAAACTTCTTTACTCAAGTAAAAGTAAAGAGGGCTTTGAAATGTACTTAAGTAAAAAGTACCCATAACTAGCAGCTGTTTTAAAGAGTACCTGACCTCCCTTTATATTAATAGAACAATAATGTCATTGTTAGCTAATGAATGTTTCCATGCTGAACAACGGCAACATGACAACGTTTTCATTGGTCCCTCTTCTTTAGAGAAGACCAGGAAATGATGGATACACGGATCGTGTTCAAATCAATAGGCACGCAATGACTCTAAATAATAATGATCACGCCACCAAACACACATTCAAACTAAAGGAACCAGCCTGTTTGGAAAATGTAAGAAGTAGAAAGTACAGGTATTTGGGTTCAACATGTAAGAAGTAGAAAGTACAGGTATTTGGGTTCAACATGTAAGAAGTAGAAAGTACAGGTATTTGTGTTCAACATGTAAGAAGTAGAAAGTACAGGTATTTGGGTTCCAAATGTAAGAAGTAGAAAGTACAGGTATTTGTGTTCAAAATGTAAGAAGTCAAAGTAAAAAGTCATCAGAAAAATAAGTAGTGGAGTAAAGTACTGATACCAGAAGAATGTACAGTAACGAAGGGTGAATGAAAGCACAGTTTATCAAAAGGCATTAACGGCACTGACGTGATGAATGTGTGTTTCCATGTTTCAGGACATCGACCCCGACAAGGACTACACCATCCCTCGCCCGAAGACCACCAACTACCTGGAACCTTATGATGAATATTGATTGAAATAATTGTCTGGTTCCGACACACACACATGAACATAAACTGATGTATACCAAAGACAACGCCAAGCCCAAACTCGTGCACTGATCTGTGCTTAAAGGGATACTTTAACCCCCTAAAAAAATCATTTAGATATCAATTACTCACCGAATGTTTTCTTGAATTCTTAAAAAAAGTTTTTCTTGCATGCCGACAAAAAATCTTAAAACACAGAAGTTGTGATGAAGTGAAGTAAATGGTCCAACAACAACAACAACTGCATGAAAACACGATTTACAAATGTTTGCACAATTTTCATTGTCTAAATCAAGTCATATTTATCCAAATATATGCTAATTATTTCATCAAACACATGCATTTTTTCCAAAATCTTACTTTGTGGCACACAAGAAAACACGAATATGTCTTCAAGAGTTCAAGGTAACACCGGTGTGACTTAATGATCTATTTAACGACATATTTTAATTTTTTGGGGGACGTATTCCTTTAATGTACAAAAAAAATAGTTTTTCTACATTTCATTTTCTTGTGCAAATGTAAATATTTGTCATTTAGTGTTTTAAGAAACTTTACTTTATAAATGTGTCAATATGTAAAACCCTCCGTCCCGAAAAGAAGAAAGAGACTCGAACAGAATGACTCATCTGCCCGAGTATCATCATGGAGGAGCGATGGGTTCAGCTCACGGGAAATCCATCACCAAATGCTTTGTGATGGTGTGTGTGTGTGTGTGTGTGTGTGTGTGTGTGTGTGTGTGTGTGTGTGTGTGTGTGTGTTGCTCTCAGAGTGTATATAAAAGCCCTGAGGTGATGGAGGAGGCGTGGAACTGCCACTCTGAAGGTGCCAAACTGCAGAGGAGAGGAAGGATGAAAGTATGGAGCGGGATTAGATGAGAGGAGACAGGAGGAGACAGTGCCATCAGTGATTAACATCTTCATATTCAAAGTTACTTTACAGTCGCTGGGTTTTGTTTCAGAAAACAATGTTCATAAATGACACAAAGTGGGTGTCTTTAGAGACTTTCTACACATGCTCAATAAAAGGGTTTATCCATAAAAGTTGTGTTAGCCTCTTCGTCTTTCTCAGGCAGATTATCGAATGTATTCTGACATATTCTGTATATTTTACATTGTATATTCTATGGATATGGATCTTTCAAAGACTCAAAGGATGTATTGACATTTGCACATTAGCTAAGGTGTAGTTTTAGACATAACAATTTGCAATATAATGCAGAATAAATTAAACTACTTAGGTAATTCACTTCAGAAACACTTTTTGTTATATTCCATGGAATGCTCTTAACATCCCGATAGCAATGAATATATTAAATGCTTTGACAATAAATACATTAAAACAATTCATCTGTGGAAGCCGTGGTGCTGTAAAAAGCACGACCAATCATCTGAGCCGGCCCGGCTAAAATAACTGGATGGCCTACCTGCCTGTCAGCCTTCCATCTGTGCACAAACTTATCTCGTGCCCTCATTGGTCATGTGCGCGTTCGTGTGTGTTGGAGGAGGGGCTCTATAATGCTGTGTTCACACCGGACGCGATGCGACGTTTGGGGGCGGCGCGATTACATGTAAAGTCAATGCAGAGACGTGGACAGACGCGAATTCGCTCCGACGGCGCGCATGAAGCGGTGGACGCAGCGCGAATCACACGATTGAGGCGATTGAACGGTGCCGCGTTAAACGCGAGAGTTCAATTTTCTCGAAGTGGGTGTGACGCTGTCTATCTGAAGAGAAATGTTCGTCTTATATTTTGTGCCAAATGTTTTATTTTTCTTGGTTTGCTTTTTCATACAGTGTGTGTGTACGTGTGCTTGCTCACTTGAGTGATTTGAATAAGGAAGTCTGAAGGAAGGGGCAGATTTTTTCCGGTTGCGTACTTTCAAATTCTAGCGCACTCGAGCTGGTTTCTCCATTCTTACCTACCCTACCTTTAAGAAGAAATACAAATGGAATAGTAGACACTGTTGCACTATTGGCTCCAATTTTCGACAATTCATCAATAAATTGTGGAAATGTTTTGGTATTTCATTTACTGTAGACACATGAAAAAAACAAAAAATGTAAGATGACAAGGGTGTGATTTAATGATGCATAAAAACCCATATAAAACACCACAGGAAAGGGAAAACTCCAAAAAGCACAATTGGGCCACTTTATGCAGCAGAGGTGCAGTACCGCATTTCTAACCACCAGGGGGCAGTGTTTAGACACACTCAGACAAAAACTACCCGGAAATGTAAACTGTAAGAAAGGAAAACATCTGATCTATATAGTCAGAATAATACTATACAACACAAATTGCCTTGGGTATAATTTTCACACAAAATCAATCGACAGAGAAAGGTTCCACCACTTATTTCCCCCCCGCGGTGCCCTGTAGTGACTCCACCGCCTACAAAAAGGTCAATCCCTCACTTCAATAGATCCACCCACCCTCTTCTATCAGACGGCCTTCAATCTATTCTTCCAATTAACTCAACTTCAATTACTCAGAGAGAGCGCATGCCATCAAATTGCCAATTGGCCTCTTGTGCATTCGAGCAATTAGCAGGATATGAGTTTTCCCGCCTCATTCAACCCATTTACGGCCATTAACTCCAGATGCAATTAAAGATTGTTCCAGATTGTGTTTGACCCCCCCCCCCCCACACACACACACACCACCCAACATCACCCTTGGCAACAGTGGTGTAAAGCAGAGGTGGGAAGTAGTGGAGTACAAATACTTCGTTACTGTACTTAAGTACATGTTTCTGGTATCAGTACTTTACTCCACTACTTATTTTTCTGACGACTTTTTACTTTTACTTCTTACATTTTGAACCCAAATACCTGTACTTTCTACTTCTTACATTTTGAACACAAATACCTGTACTTTCTACTTCTTACATTTTGAACCCAAATACCTGTACTTTCTACTTCTTACATGTTGAACACAAATACCTGTACTTTCTACTTCTTACATGTTGAACACAAATACCTGTACTTTCTACTTCTTACATGTTGAACACAAATACCTGTACTTTCTACTTCTTACATGTTGAACACAAATACCTGTACTTTCTACTTCTTACATTTTGAACACAAATACCTGTACTTTCTACTTCTTACATGTTGAACACAAATACCTGTACTTTCTACTTCTCACATTTTCCAAACAGGCTGGTTCCTTTAGTTTGAATGTGTGTTTGGTGGCGTGATCATTATTATTTAGAGTCATTGCGTGCCTATTGATTTGAACACGATCCGTGTATCCATCATTTCCTGGTCTTCTCTAAAGAAGAGGGACCAATGAAAACGTTGTCATGTTGCCGTTGTTCAGCATGGAAACATTCATTAGCTAACAATGACATTATTGTTCTATTAATATAAAGGGAGGTCAGGTACTCTTTAAAACAGCTGGTAGTTACGGGTACTTTTTACTTAAAGGTCCCATGTCATGGCCATTTCTACTGATCATAATTCCATTGTTGAGGTCTACTAGAATAGATTTATATTGTTTAATTTTCCAAACTCACATTGGTTTCTCATACAGCATCTCTGTATAGTATGTGTATTCACTCTCTGTCCTAAACGGCTTGTTGGAGCTCCTGCCCCCCCCCCCCCTTCCCTATGATCCCAGTGGCCGTCTGCGAGACAGCGAGACACAGCGAAACCCAGCCCGAACACACACACACACACACACACACACCCGCAGCCTGGCTGGGAGTTTGTGTGTGTGCTCACACACAGACTCACAGCCTTACTTTTACTTGAGTAAAGAAGTTTAGTCAGTACTTCTAGTTTCACCAGAGTATTTTTAAACACAAGTATCTGTACTTCTACTTGAGTAAAGGATGTGTGTACTTTTGCCATCTCTGGTGTAAAGTAACTATAGTTTTACTCAAGTACTGTACTTAAATATACTTTGAGGTACTTCTTCTTTACTTAAATGGTGTACTTTTACTCCACTACATGTATTTAATACCTTTAGTTACTTCACAGATGTGGATGAATGATGTGAAATCTAATCAAGTGTTAAATCAGACTTTAGTTCCACCTGGAGTAAATCCACAAGCTACCCTGCAGTATACAAAGTCATTCAAACTAGCTGCACCTTTACCAGCTTTGAGAACACTTTCATGATCAATCATTATAAAACATATTATATATATTATTCTGAAATGGACCAATCTGCACAATGACTACTTTCACTGTCGCTACTTTCACTATATTTTGATGATAATACTTTTCTACTTTTACTTGAGGAACATTTTGAATGCAGGACTTTTACTGTAACAGAGTATTCCTACACTCTGGTACTTCTACTTTTAATGTAGTACAAGATCTGTGTACTTCTAATTTTACTCAAGATCTGAGGAGTGTTATTCTGATCAATCTCCTGTAAAGTGTTGTGCTCACAGTGAAAGAGTGCTTCTTGGTTGTTCTCTAATCAAAGGGTTGCAACACTTTCTCTCACCTCCTGTTTCAGTGTTTCCTCTCGTTTGAGAGTGCATTCAGACGCCCTTTCTCGGCCTCTGATTGGATAACCTTGTTTCACCCAAACGCTGGAAAGAAAAATGATAAGCCGTACACAATCGTGGGAAGGAAATGCCTAAATGGTTACCAGCTGCTGAATCTAAGGGAGTGTGCTTTATCACCTCCTGATGTGCAAGGGCTCTGCTCACATGTTGAGGAGGACGGCTCACTCCAGAGTAAAATAAATATATGTTCCTTAGTGCTGTGTTGGAGGTAGAGTCGTCTCCAATATAAAGATAGCGGATGGTTTCTGGTGCTCAAAGCAACAACAATATGCATTCACAGCAATGCCTCTTTCCAAAAAGCATGACTCCGTAACTCAAGATAAAACCGCTTGTCGTGAGCAGCTTCCTGGAGGAACTACTTTCTTTCTTTGTTGTTTGTTTTACTCCTGTTTTGGTAACACTTTATATTAAGGTACACAAATTCACCATCAACTAGTTGTTAATTAACATGCATATTAGCAGTATATTGGCTCTTTATTAGTCATTATAAAACACTTATTAATGCCTTATTCTACATGACCATATTCTACAAGTAATAAGTAATTAGTTGAGTTTTTCCTCAATAACCGTCTAATTAGTGCTTATTTATTGCAAGTAAGGAAGTTGTTGTTCATGAGTTTTGGTCTTAATCTGCTCAATATGGGCCTAATAAGGAAGTAGTACCACACGAATAGTAATTATCCCATAATAACACTTAACAAATAGGATCTGTTCTTATGTTCTTAACAAGACATGAAACTATAAGTGTTATTTGTGTCAAAATAACTCAAAATGTGGTATTTCTAACTCAGAACAAGTTCCTTATTTTAAAGTCTTGTTCATAACCAATAAGCTAGCAGTTTGTCTCTAATATGTTAATTAACAACTAGTTGATGGTGAATAAGTGTACCTTAAAGGTGGGGTAGGTAAGTTTGAGAAACCGGCTCGAGATCGCTAGAATTTGAAAATACACAACCGGAGAAAATCTCCCACTTCCTTACAGGGCCCCTCCTCCAACACACACGAACGCGCACATGACCAATGAGGGCACGAGATAAGTTTGTGCACAGATGGAAGGCTGACAGGCAGGTAGGCCATCCAGTTATTTTAGCCGGGCCGGCTCAGATGATTGGTCGTGCTTTTTACAGTACTATAGCTTCCACAGATGACATTTTTTTATGGATTTATTTTCAAAGCACTTCAGATATTCATTGCTATCGGGATGTTAAGAGCATTCCATGGAATATAACAAAAAGTGTATCTCGAGCCGGTTTCTCAAACTTACCTACCCTACCTTTAATATAAAGTGTTAACCCTTGTTTTTGTGCATGTGCCATACGACCTCTGCAGCTCATCCAGAATGCAGCGGTTCGTCTGGTCTTCAACCTTCCTAAATTCTCCCACGCCGCTCCTCCGCTCGCTTCACTGGCTTCCAGTAACTGCTAGAATCCGCTTCAAGACACTGGTACTAGCGTACCATGCTGTGAATGGATCTGGCCCTTCCTACATCCAGGACATGGTTAAACCATACACCCCAGCACGTGCACTCCGCTCTGCATCGGCCAAACGGCTCGCTGCACCCGCACTGCGAGGGGGACCCAAGTTCCCATCAGCAAAAACACGTGGGTTTGCTATCCTGGCTCCAAAATGGTGGAATGAGCTCCCCATTGACATCAGGACAGCAGAAAGCTTACACACCTTCCGGCGCAGACTGAAAACCCATCTCTTTCGACTCCACTTCGAGCAATAAAATTACTAACTTATATACTAATAAAGGACTGGCTTATCTAAAACTAGTTGAGTAGCACTTGAAATGTTTTGTCTCTATGAAACCTGATGTACTTATATGATTCTGTTTTCTTCTAGTTTGTATCTTCTTGGTCGAATGCACTTATTGTAAGTCGCTTTGGATAAAAGCGTCAGCTAAATCCAATGTAATGTAATGTAATATTTTTTCTGTAAAGCAACCTTGGGTCCACTGAAAGGCGCTATATAAATATAAGTTATTATTTTCTACCAAACTACACCTTGGAAACGTATCCCCACATTCAGCAGTAATAGAAAAGACAAATCCCACAATAATGATGAATCCCACAAGAGGAGATTCAATGTTTTTAGAGTATACAGTACACCTGAAATACAGACATGCACAAACGCTTGCATTTACAGAGAGGTGTCAGAGCGAAGGAACTCTTGGTTTGGCTCACCAAGTGTTTTTTTGGTCTGTTTTGCCCCATGCGTGGACTTGAAACAGTGACCATTTGATCCAAAGCCAAGCCCCAACATTCAGAGCCATCACCACATGGTTTAGTTTGGTAGAAAGACAATGTTTCCTACATTAAACTGCTGACAAAAGTGTCTTTTAGATGTCATCGAACCAGTTACCATCCGAAACCAAGTTCAAACTAAGCAAATGCCTCCATGTAGTTTGTAGTTTGATAAATAGTCTCTACTGCAAATGCTCATGGATTCTTTTCTCGAGTAGCAGGATCATCATTTCTGGAAAGAGTAATTGCTTTACAGATTTGCAAATGTTTTTTTATGGCGCTTCAAGCATCATAAGTTAAAGGTCCCATGTCATTTCTACTGATCATATTTCCATTGTTGAGGTCTACTAGAATAGATTTAAATTGTGCAATTTTCCAAACTCACATTGGTTTCTCATACAGCATCTCTGTATAGTATGTGTATTCACTCTCTGTCCTAAACGGCTTGTTGGAGCTCCTGCCCCCCCTCCCTGTGAGCCCAGTGTGCTCTGATTGGTCGGGACGTTGCGAGGCTCGTTGCTGCGAGGAGCGGACAGGTTTCCGGGTCGGCGATACAGCGAGAACAAGCGAAACTCATCCTGAGCACACACAAACACTCACAGCCGAAGTAAAAACAATAAGTGTGGCTTGATATTGAGTAAGAAAAAGGTTGATAACGCTGTGAGCATGGGTCTGCGGAGAGCATTTCTCCGCGATCCCAACTCGTCTATTACCAGCGTTCAGGGAGCTCTATGCAAGTCAATGGGGACTCCCTGTTAGTTAGCCAAGGGATCCTGGTGTGTGAGGTGCTCCGCGGATTGGTCCATTTGGGCCAATCCGGTCATTTGTTGTTGATTTGGGTGTTCACACGTCACAGAACCCAGGAAGCAAACAATGGAAAATGAGAAATCTCCAACGAGGCGTTCTGGGGCAGCATAGACAGGTCTTTTCTGTGTTAGAGTTTTACTCGCTACAGGGTGTACTTTGAGGGGTTTTGACTCTGCACACCGTTTACATGCAGAAAAACCTTCATAACACACAAGGGGACGGGTAATAACCAGAAAAGCATGACATGGGACCTTTAAGGGCCATCTAGTTTCATTATATTGGAGCGATGGCAGACATCTCCAACACTCGACAACTCGCACCAAAACAATCAAAATGGATGACTAACACTACAGGTAAGAGGAAAAATATGCATTTGTGTTTTTAGGGCAAATCCTCCCTTTAAACCTGATAAAGGTATATAAGTATAGTTTAGGTGTGTCCTTGAGCAAGACACTTCCCCCTAAATTATCCACAGTATTCGATGTATTACACGTCTTATGCAATTCAAAGCGCTCAAATTAATAATTATTAAGCATATAGAAGTAATAAGTATTCCCAGACCAATTTAAAAACCAAACAGTTTATTTATTATATACATTCAATAATAATGGAGAGAATAAACAGAAGGCAGACACAAGGATGGCAAAATGAACATACATGTCACTTATTTAAAAAAAATAATCACTTGGATAAATGAGCTTTTAAGAGCATGTGACATTACAAAAAAAAAATCCACATGCAGTTCAAAGTCATTTATGAAATCCCTGTACAAAAACACCTCCCACTGTTCGACTCGAGGGTCAGAGGAGAACTTTGTCCCAGCATGCACCTCTGCAGCAAATCAGATTTACTACCGTTAAGAGTTAGCATCGCAAGGGCTCCCTCGACAAAAAGCCAATGGGATTTTTTATTAGCTTTTGAAATATTGCAGACATTAAAATCAGTGGCAAACACCTTTTCTATGATGCTTTGTTCAGCATGATAATATCCGTATTATACCGCCAATTTTATGATTTTTGAAATGTAGCAAAAAGCTAACGCTAGGCTATAAGTGAACACGGTTGCATGACACCGCTAAGCTAATGGCGGCTAATGTTGTTTTTCTTTGCCACTTGCTAGCAACTGATGTTTTTAGAACACCTAAAAGCTTTGGATATTTACTCGTGGGGTATTTACTGACATATTTGATGTAGAAGAACAATACGTGAGAGTTTTGTAAGCCAACGTGAGGCTATAAAGGAATTACATGACTTCACGTCACCACCGCTAAGCTAAAGGTGGCTAACGTTCAGCCCGATGTTGCTTAGTCGTCTTTTTTAGCTACGTGTTGAACAAATGATGAAAACATATTCAGTTTGTGTTAACCAGACCTTATTTTAGGCGTCTAAGCAAAAATAAATTCTAATTGAGTTTGATAAGAGGGAACCCGTGTTAAAATGCTAACTCATTCCTGGTTTTAGGACTCATTCCTGCACCACAGTGGCTGCTCGATGCACCAGAAAGGTGGCGCTAGCTTTGTTTCACCAGCGTCTTCTTTTCATCTCAAAGCCAAATGATCATTAGGTGATTTTACTGTCGGTATAAAAGAGAACCACGGGGGGTCCGCACCTCCCAAATTAAACTGGTGATTACAAACCGAGGCACAGAGCAGCCGTAACCCGGAGTATTGAAGCAAATCAACTTCCTTTCCTCCCTGGACCTTTTACTCCTCGCATCAACATCCTCCTCTTGCTCTGTAAACACCCCCCCCCCCGTCCTCCTCTCCTCCAGCACTATGATTTTGAATTCATGCACATAATGAAAACAGGATTCTGACTTCCTCTCTCACAAAAGCATGCATAGCAACACTTCTGATAATACTTGTAAGGAATAATAAAAGACCCAAAAAAGAACAAGAGGTAATGCTCGTCGAAAATACTCATTGGACCTACTGCACACAATCATACAAAAAAACTCCTCGCAATGAAATAAAAAAAACCAATAGACAGCAGGGGACGTTTGTTGTCCTGTCAGCTGATGATTAATGGCTCTCACCTTCACAATAACCCTAGGCTCTTTCCTCTTTTTCTGGACGTTTTTGGACGATTTATTTCGCCGTAATTTGGCCCTTACGGCAAAAACACAATCCATAATATCTGTCTTTCTGCATATCCCTCATGACTCCATCTGCTCTGATTTCCCTTGTCTAGGCAATAAATGAGTGGTCCGAATTTGTTTTTGTGGGTCAAAAGTCCCAAATCCTGCACCTGCTGCTGCTAACATGACATTTCCCAGGGTGCTGTACTTAAAACTATATATATAACAAAATAATAGGCACAAAGAAACACAAACAAAACTAGGAAATACATCAGGACCAAAATAAAAAATGTTTGCTTATTTCAGAATAAAAATCTTTGGAACCAATAATAGCAACAAAGTGAGAGTATATGGAGAAACATACAAACTCCGCGGACCCGAAACAATCCCAGAGTAATAATGACGGATTTAAAAATGACAAATCATGGTGTCTTTAAGAATGTTGAGTATAAATATCAGACTCCTGTTCTGTTCGATCTCTGCGTCTCCAATTTCTAATTCTTCACTAAACCCTTCTCTGATTGGCCAGGAGGGATGATGAGCTTCCCGAAATGTAGCTGTGTTTTCCCGCTTTTAAATCGGCTAATGGTTTTCGATGAGCGTTCATTTGCAGGAATGTTTCATGATGGGTTTTTTTTTGAAGAAGAAGAAGAAGAAGAAGAAGAAGAAGCGCTATGAGGAGAAAATCGAGGACGAGCCTTTAGAGAAGAGGCGGGGAAAAAAGGACGGAGATACAGGATCCCGTCTTAGTGTTGTTGGTTAAATGAGTAGAACAGGATGTCTCTGTGGCTGTTTTATATACTTATCAAATGGCAGCAAAAATAAGTAAATTAAGAGTGAGGTAATGCAGAAAATAAAAGTCATATTTATCGTCTTTTTCCTTGTCGTTTTCTTAACATGATTGTAAATTCAAGGGGAAAGTAGTGAGCAAAAACGATAGTAAATTCTCATGCCGTGTAGAGTGGTTTCTGTCAGTCAAATGCTCCCAGGTCCTTCCGGATAAATGCACAAAAAAATCATAATAATTCCTACATTTTCTTTATTTCACCATGATGATCTTCTCTGCTGCACAACAGGGGGCTTTAACGTAAGAGTACCTTTTAGAGTAGCGTCTTGTTGAAATGTAGAAGATACCGTATGCTTAAAGTGTGGATATATGAGCTCCTATAGGGATGTTGGATATACTGTCAGAGAGGGAAAAAGATGTGAAGTCTCACTCTTTCCAGGTCCCGTAGTGTAGTAAAAAAACGTCCGAAATCACGCCCTGTAGTTCAAAGTCGCAGGGTTGTTGTTTTTTTTTCGTGGCAGGTTTGTTTTTCCAGGACAGAGAGTTTGATGATGTGGCACAATGACCTCTGTCGCCACAAAATGACAAAAAAAAACACATGAGTTGTCACTATTGTCCGCCTGCAGGAGAGTGGAGGGGAGCTGCTGCCAAACAAAGAGCTGGAAAAAGGGTTTTTTTTGGGAGCGATGTGAAATTCCTCGGATGTGATTTGTGTTTTTTTTATTTTTTTTTTTAGTACGGAGCAAACCTACTGTATCCTGCCCGGTATAAACTGGCCTGGAAGAGACAAAAAGAAACAACACGTCAATAAACAATGAAGTAACAGCGCTGCATTATTCTATAAAATGTACTCTAAACAGGTAGCATTCAAATCAACAAAAGATGCATTTAATGAGACAAATGTGCACTTTTTTTTTGTTTTAACTCACTTGCAATGTGAGTGCAATGTCCTGTTGAGGACACACAAAAAAGAAAGGCCTATGGTGGATCCAAACATAACTTAACATGTGCAGACCCCATGCATCCACTTGCATTACCCTCAAAATACAGAGGGTGCCGTGCATCTTAAAAGTATAAATAGTGTGTTTTGTGCAGAGTGTTTGTCAGTTAACTCACCATTGCTCCGACTCCATAAGCAGCGGCGGCTGGATTTAAACCGTGGTACGGGTCTGTAGTGTACACTCGACCGTAACTAGGGAACAACAGACAGGAAGTTACACATTTTGGGCCAAAGTACTGATCATGTTTTTATTTTCTTCATTGTTTTGCAAGTATGCATGTATATATACAAGGCAACAGGACAGGTTTAAATAAACTGGGCTTTTTATTTACCCAAAAATCCAAAGAAAACATCATAAACCAATAATTTCTAATAACTAAGCCTATAAAAGAGGTCAACAGAAAATACCTCAAATAAACATGGCATCAACTTAACAGGTGTAAACTCAACAAACTGACCTGCTACAATGACAAACCAAGGAACCTATATAGTGGCTTGGCCAAACCAAGTTGAAACCAAGGGATAATTAATAGTAACAGAAAAGGAAACTGACAAAACCCAAACCCCCCCCATGGAAGCATTTGAGTTTGTTTTTAATTGGCTCTCCTCTTTTCCTGATTCATGACAGAATTGTGATCTTTTTAAACTCATTTCCAGTCAACATAATGTGGGCGGATTCAAAGGTCTGGACCCAGGCAACCATCAGAGTCCAAATGTAATTGGAAAGAGGAAATCTAATCGAAGGAGAAATGTGGAGAAGTCTCGACGAAAGTGACCTGGTGAACACAAGTGTAGATGGAAACTTTAACCAAGGTGTGTGTGTGTGTGTGTGTGTGTGTGTGTGTGTGTCCTCACCTGTCACTGTAGGCGGCGGCTGCAGCGGTTGCCCCGGTTACGGCGGCCGGCTGGGCGTAGCGGTAGGCGGCGGCCGCGGCAGCAGCAGCAGGATAACCTCCCTAAACACACACACAGAAAGTTAAGAGTTAATAATGTGTGTGTGTGTGTGTGTGTGTGTGTGTGTGGAGGAGACACCTGGGCTAAGGTGTGCGGATGATGGGGCGCCGTATAGAGGTGGAATATACTGACATCTCATTCTAAGAAATATTAGAGATATGGAAATATTTGTGACTTTTTATAGAATGTAATGAATTCTCGAGATATTACACCATAATGACTGTATGTTTTTACTCTGTGTGATATCTCATGCACAATGCAAAGGTTAACGTTTAGAAAGTAATATAGTTATGCAGTTATAGGCGATAGAAACTTGTATTAAATACAAAAACGTCGAATAGGGTCGAAGCTTCTTTCTTAACCTGGCTAAGCTTCTTTTGTCGTCTTTTCATTGTGTTTTAAAGCCTTAGAAAAATACATATTTGAAAGATTCTAGACATGTTTTAATCCTACAAAATATTCAGTTTTAATACACATGTGTTGGCTTTTATTCTTTAAAAAACCCAACGTGATCTCTCATTGAAAAAATGATGCTAACCTAACCAAATGAACGCCATCACGGCACCGCTCTAAAACAAAAATGTTAATATTTTCCTCAATTTTCAGGGAGATAACGTTATAAAAAAGTAGCTGAATTTTAATAAATGTACATTCTAGTACAGCCCTTAGTAAAAAAAATACATATATATGTATGACGTATTAACGCCCAAAACCTGTTTATCATACATATAGACTAGATTATATACATTCACAAAACCAATTCAGTGTCAGTATATTGCATTTCTATATGGGGGGGGGGGGGGGGGTTTATCAGAGAGACAGAGGGAGGAAATTGAACTGTCGGGGTCGCGTTAGATTGTATTATTATTACTAAAGGGAGAAAAAGGGGGAGGTAAATCAGGGGGAGACACAGTTGAGAGCGTAGAGAAAACTCAATGTAATTACAGGACATGTCGAGAGAAGGACACATTTATGACATTTGTTGTTATTGTTATTTGAAATGGATTTCAGGGAAAAAGAGAGGAAAATGTGGGGGAGAGGACACACACACACACACACACACACACACACACACACACACACACACACACACACACACACACACACACACACACACACACACACACACACACACACACACACACACACACACACACACACACACACACACACACACACACACACACACACACACACACACACACACACCCCACACACACCACACACACACACAACACACACAACACACACCACCCACACACACACACACACACACACACACCACACACACACACCACACACACACCACACACACACACACGCGCGTTTGGAGCAGAGAAGCCAGCGTTCATAGAGACAGGTGTTATTAACAGAGAGCGAGAGCAAGGGATCTCTGGGTAATAGTTGGATCAGGTGTCGCTGCATGCTTCAGTTGTATCCAGGGATTCATTCAGGAAAGAGACCTGTGTTCTCAGAGTATTCAGTATCTCACATACAGAGCTAAGCTAACCTCTCTGATCAATTGTTTCAAACATGTTTAAAGAGATGATGTCAGGGGCTGATTGTTGTACTATAAACATCTTGGGGTCTAATTTAAAACAAAAAATATTGACAATTTGTATTCCTTTCTTTGTGTGTGAAATATAGGGGGCATTTGTCATTGGGAACTGTCACATCTTTCTCTACGCAATAATTGTGACTAAAACTATTTGATAATGATATTATTGCAATATCTATAGAAACCAGAAATCACGGATCTTACAGGTTAAGGCTTAAGTTACATTTGGATCATATTAAGACGTTGCAGATGTTTAAAAACCACTCTAAATGTATTTAATTTGACATGTTACACCGCTATCTGATTCTGCGGGACGTTATTACACCTCTCACTGTCATTTTTGGCCCAAAAGAGAACAAAATAAGATGTTTCTCTAAAAGAATCCGACCAGACAAACTAGTAGGGGGAAATGTGCACACTGTAGTTGAGTTAGTAGAAGAAGACAGAAAGTAGTGAGCTATGAAAACCAACATGAACTCAAAGCAGTGGTCATTGTGTTTAATAAAAAGACAACATGTTCCAGATCAGAAGAGATGGTTTATCAGAGGAGGGGGAACAGGAAGAAGAAACACACTGTGGGGGACCCTACCTGAGGCAACCTGGGACTAAGGACTGAGTCCTGAAACACTAGTCTATAGAGAGAACAGAAACAGCTGTTGTCAACCTGGATACACACACACACACTCATACGCTCTCACACACACACTCATACGCTCACACACACACGTTCGTACGCTCACACACACACACACACTCATACGCTCTCACACACACACGTTCGTACGCTCACACACACACATTCGTACGCTCACACACACACACATTCGTACGAGCTGCGTTGAAATGACATAAGAAGGTGTGTTTACATGTTTGCAGGCAGCTCTGACTGGACACACACGTGCAGAATCAACCCCCAGAGGGAAAGAAAAAGCAGGAGAAAGCTGTGAGGGGGGGGGGGGGGAGATAGAGAGGGAGTGTCGGTGGGAGGTGAGTTTACTTACATATAAGTCTGCAGCGCCGTAAAACCCATCCTGATACACCACACTGAGAGAGGAGGAAGAGCAGGAGAGAGTGGAGGAAGAGGAGGGTGCAAATGGAGTGGTGCACAGTCCCGAAAAACCAGAGTGGAGGAAGGTCACACAGCAACATCATTATAAAGAGAGAGAGGGGGGGAGAGAGAGGGGAGACAGAGAGAGAAACGTTATTTCACACCCATGCAGCATGCAGAGGAAATACAGCTCCCACTTGAGCTCCATTACTGAAATAAAACATGGTGCATAAAGCTGGTTGTGGAGTCGTAAGAGAGACTTAATAAAGACTACATATGTAAGAAACAGTTAAATTAATGTGGAAAAATAAAAAGAATTAAATGGAAATATATATATAAATAAAATAAAATAAATAAAATAACAAAAATTATAATAATACAACAAATAATAATTAAAATAAATAAATATAAGAATAAAACATGTGAAAATATATACATTTTTATACATAAAAAAACATACAAATTAAAAATGTGGAAATATAAACACAACAAAATATGATATACAAATTACAATTTAATTTTAAGCATTTTTCATTTATATTCACATTTATTTCCTTATACTAATATTTATATATTTTTGCAAATAAATGATGATATAAACGTTTTTCTATGTATTTATTTATTTGTAATTCTTTATTATTAAAAGGCAAAAGCAAAAACGTATAAAATAAAGGCTTAAAGAATACATTTTATTATGTAAAAACAAATAATCCCAAAAATCAAACTAAATATTTTAGCTTAGAAATGTAATTTATGAGAATTTAAAAGGGGAACTTCTTTATTTATTTACATATTTATTATTTCCACATGTGTTTTCCTCATCTTCTACAGATGTCTTCTTTGTAAAGGGCACTCCTGTGACTCCATAGGTAACAGATTAATGTCCTTGAGCTGAAGTGCCACCATAAAGGTCCCCTATTGTACTGTTTTTCATCAATATATTATAGGTCTCAGATATATCCAGAGCCTGTCTCTGATTGGCTGAAACACCAAACAGATCATTGCAGCATCCCATAATCCCCTCTGTTTCAGCCCTGTTTCCAAAGTGCTGATTCTCTGTCTGTTACTTTAGATGAAAATAAGGAGCCCCTCCCCACGCCCCTCTGAGAGAGATTTGGTTACAAAGAACTCAATGGTGCTCTAGGAGGAGATTCAGGTGATAAGGGGGGGGGGGGGGTTACCTTGGTTGCTGATTGGCTAATGGTTACACAAGCCAAAACATCGTTATGACATCATAAAGTGGCCAAAATCTGATCAGCTCATTTTCAGACAGGTTTTTATATATATATATTCAGGACAAAAAGAGAGAGAATCTTTGTTCCTGAAACTTTCAGAGTCTCTACACAGAGGGGACACATGTTGATGTAGAAGAGACATGAACAGGTGGATTTTGCACAATAGGTGACCTTTAAAGCTGCTTTGATGCTCTTATGAAATCTCAGAGGTGTGCTTTGGTTTCTAGTGGAGCAGATATGGAGCGGGTATTTCATCTTGTTCAGTTTCATTTGAAACATCATCATCATCATCATCATAGTAAGAAAGGCCATTAACCAATCAATTCTGCTTTGATCTGAGCAGTCACGAGTCGACCCCATTAGCCAATCATCACAGCACGGCAACAACATGCACAGTGCACACACTGATGGACAAAACACACACGTTAACGGGGAACGTGGAATAACTCTGTGACTGCTTCTGCATAATGGCTCGATGTGCTTTGTGTCTGTTTATGCTAATCTGCTGATGGCTTGGTATCTGCGGGTTTTTATTCAAATGAAGCTCGATTGGTGCAATCCCATCAGAGCTGAAGAGCTTATGAACTGAGTGACAGGGGGAAGGGATGTGAAGTGTGAATGATGTGTGAGCACGAGCCGCTGTATTAAACAGAGAGCGGGGGAACGATTCTGTGAAGTGGTATTCATGGGGTGTTCCTCAATAGATTTACAGGCCACTGAACAAAACAATTGACTTCTAGTACTTCTCAAATGTGTTAAAACACTCAGAGCAGATATAGGGCAGCTCCAAATGTGTGCGACGTCAATAACTCTCATAGTTCTGATTTCACCATCGGCGGCTAAAACACACTTTCAATTGTGCATTTCAGAATTATTATCTTTATCAATACTAACACAGATTTGTACATATTTATTGCCGTTATATATTATTATAAATTTGCCCATTTTACTTTAATTTTATTCTATTTTGTTATCTTTTTATTTCACATTTTTACTTAATTTCTTAAGATTTTATCCATTTAAAAAAAATATTGTATAACATTTTTTTCACATTTTTACTTAACTGCCTTGTTTCTAATAATATTTAAATGTTATCTTATTCTTTATCCTTTTATAGCACATTTTATGACATTTTTTATATTTATTTAAAGCACGTCTGTTCTCACCCAGGGTATGTAGGCATGGCGGGTTGAGGCACGGCGGCTCGCACAGCGCTGTAGACAGGTCGGCCGCGGCCTCTCAGGTGAGCCCCGCGAAACGCTGCTGCTGCTGTGGTGGCTGCTGCCGCTGCTGAAGAGTAGGGGAACCCTGGGACTGAAGGGGGAGGGGGAGAGAGAGAGAGAGAGAGAGAGAGAAAAGCAGGTGATTTAGAGAAGAAGGGAGATAGTGTGGATGGAAAAAATAGGGGGAGAAACATGCTAATAAGGCATTGATACCAGAAGCTGCATTGTTGCTTTCTGGGACCTTTATTTTGAAAATTAAGCTTAAGCCTGAGCCTTCTCAAAGTATAAAGTTACTCTAGTCTAGGGGACTTTTATTTTAAAAAATAAGCTTAAACCTGAGCTTCCTCAAAGTATAAAGTTACTCTATGGGACTTTTATTTTGAAAAATAAGCTTAAACCTGAGCTTCCTCAAAATATAAAGTTACTCTATGGGGCTTTTATTTTGAAAAATAAGCTTAAGCCTGAGCCTCCTCAAAGTATAAAGTTACTCTAGTCTAGGGGACTGTTATTTTGAAAAATATGACTTTTCCTGATCTTCCAGCAAGGATACCATACAACCATGGGGCTTTTGTTTTGAAAAGCATTCATTTTTCTGAGCTTCCTGTTAAGACACAGCCATCTATTGGGATTTTTATTTTGAAAACATGCAACTTGCTGAGCTTCCATGAAGGATATAGTAACTTTATGTGAATTTTATTTTGAAAAACACGTCTCTTTCTGAGCTTCGCGAAAGGATAGTAACTCTATGGGGCTTTTACTCTGAAAAACACGTCACTTTCTGGTAAAAAAAATCCCTTTTAAACTTCCTGTAGTAATACAGTAACTTAGTTTTTTGGTTTCCTGAGCTTTCTATAAGGAAACAGGACCTTTATTTTGAAGGTGTGATAGGAAAGGGCACTGCTGACTCTACAGAATAATAGACTGTGTGTCGTTTGGCAGTCACACAGAATTAAGGAGAAAAGGGAGAAGGGGAATAATCCAATTGCTGCCTTGAGGCCTTGATATCAATAAAAGTGTCAGAGAGGAGAAATGTTCGGCAAGCAGAGCATTAATATAAATTAAAGATTGGAATGTGATTAAAATGTAAAGTAGGCAGTGGAGACAGAGAGAGTTAGTAGTTACCTGCGTAGATCTCAGGTGCGTACATGGCTCCCATCATAGGACTCAATTTCCACCCCGCTGACATTCACAAAGAGAGAGCATCGTTAAAATGGGCAGTTTGGAAAGAGCACAGTATTTATCATTTACACACACTTTTCTCTACACCTACAATGCAGTTTTTTTTGGCCCTTTTTCGTTGGTTTTCATAGTTCACCAGCTATTTAAAAAGCCAGTTTAATCACGGCGACAGAAGAGGAGATACGGGATGAGCGCCTCAGAGCAGCGATGCTTTAAAATATGGATTTTGATTGAGGCTGAGCGCTTCCTCTTCTTCATTACACAGATTCCCTCAGCCACACTGACTCTGAAGCTCTTCCCATGTGAAGCAGCACAGATGGTATGAAAAGCAGGGAGGCACGGGTAGTATTGGCAAGATGATATTTGAACCCCTCTTTTTAGCATTTCTAAGCAACATTTCATTAAGATTTTACATTGTATTCGAAGTGAAACTAGCTGAATAAAACTGTATTAATACTAACTATAGCTAAATAGGGGGACTTTAAGACATGATTCTGACCATTTTTAATACAATACATGTCAGTGAAGTCAATATCTATCACTGAATGAAGAAGAACAATGGTCAATTAGTGAATAACACATTGCAATATAATACAGGTTGCCCATATCCAACTTCTTAGCAAGATAATCGACTTCACTTTCAATAAAACTACAATAGTTTGTTAATATTTTCCCAAATAGAACTGCAGTGCTGCACGAAAACTCTTAAGACTAGATCTGACAGTAAATTATCATAGTATCGTATTGGAAATGAACATTTGAAGCAATAGATCTGGATAATCTGAGCTCAATTTGAGAGTAAACTGTCGTCATGGCTGGTAGGTGGTGTTAAAAATAATAAAATCTAAAATAAACTCCTTGATATTGTGTTTGCTGACGGCCTTACATAATGTGGTCTGCAGCTGCGGGAGGAAACACTGATTGTGTGTTTTTCATCCGCCTCTCGCTGTGAACCTGATGCTGTTTGGATTACGTGTGTGTGTGTGTGTGTGTGTGTGTGTGTGTGTGTGTGTGTGTGTCCTAGCATTACTATACTTGTGGGGACCTAAATCTGTTTACACAGTCACGTGTGGGGACTCGCCTCCCTTATGGGGACATAATGGAGGTCCCCATGAGTGGAATTATTCATTTTAGGGTGAAGACTTGGTTAGGGTTAGGGTTAGGCATGTGTTGGTTATGGTTAAGGTTAGGATAAGTCTCCAGGAAATGCATGTAAGTCAATGTAATGTCCCCTGAAGTGATGTATACATAGTATGTGTGTGTGTGTGCGTGTGTGTGTGTGTGCATGCGTGCGTGCGTTACCGTTGCCGTAGGGCAGCGCGCTCAGGGCCGCCTCTCCGTTAGGAAACGGGCTGACCATTTTCTTGTTGGTCATCACCCGGGCTGTGGCATTGTTCACCTGAAGGAGGAACGGACGGTTAAAGACCAGAAAACTCAACAAATAAAAACTAAATAACGCAAAGGGCTAGATCACGAGGCTGATGTGTGTGTGTGTTTTTTAAAAGTCATAATATATTAACCGTGTTTGCTAACATGTGCTCGTAGTGTGATTGTCTTTATTTTGTATATTTCTTGGCACACTCACGTATTTATTGTTGTTATTATTGTACAATACTTTTATAAACATATTTTTATTATATTTTATCTGTTATTCCACATTTTAATTGTTAACTTGTATGTTTATGTTAATATTATTATATTTTATTGCACTTTTCACTTGAATAAATATTATTATTATATTTTTAGTTTATTCCACATTTTACTGAACATTTTTACTTTGCTTCTTATTTTTATAAATATATAGTTAATGTATTTGATTTGATCAGTTATAGTAGAGTTACATTTGAACTTATGTTTTAATTTATATATTATTTTGGTCAATTTTATAATTTTATTCTATATTATTGCACATTTCATTTTTGAGTTTTTTTTCTTTTAAATACATTTTTGTATTTTATTTTGTTCTAAAAAACAGCAACTGTCACAAAACCCTAATTTTCCCCATTTCCCATCAGTTGTATGATAAACCTGTTCCTATATAAACCTATAAAGCAGAATATGTAATTTTTTAAAAAGACACATGTAACATCTAAGATGGCTGCTAGCTCGTTTGTTGTTCTGTGTTTGTGTGTTAAAGTGGGTCGGGCGGTTAGGGGGGATTTTTAGTCCTCATGCAATTAAGAAGCGAGTTGCCCATCAGAGATTTGATGATTCATTGTGGGCAGATATGAATGTGGCCATGGGGGACTTTGGTTATATTGCGGCCGTAAATTGCAGCAAAAGAAACGACGCTGTACTTGTATTATTTTGCATGCTCAGGTGTTTTATTTATATTTGATTTTTTAGGTGCGTGTGCGTCTTCTCCGCCTGACATTTCAGTCTAATGCTCGGGCTTTCAATCCAAGATGGCTGATAATCTCCTCTCTGAGCTTCAAAGGCTCCCTTGATCTTCCTTTGATGGGTTTTAAGAGAAGGAGATTGTAGCTCTGTGTAAAAAGCCATACTGTCGCGGTGTTGAAGCTCCACATCTGAGTGAGGCGAGAGATTAATGACCTTTTTGGCTCGATGAGGGGAGAGTGTGTGAGAGAAGGACTGAGGAATGAGAACACACACACACACACACACACACACACACACACACACACACACACACACACACACACACACACACACACACACACACACACACACACACACACACACACACACACACTACTACTAAAGAGGACTCTTTAAAGTAGAGACACTACATACTGATATACACCTGAACATCAGCAGGAGAGGACTCTTTAAAGTAGAGACACTACATACTGATATGAACCTGAACATCAGCAGGAGAGGACTCTTTAAAGTAGAGACACTACATACTGATATACACCTGAACATCAGCAGGAGAGGACTCTTTAAAGTAGAGACACTACATACTGATATACACCTGAAAATGAGCATTATATGACCCCTTTAATAACAAAAAATAAGCACACACACACACACACACACACACACACACACACACACACACACACACACACACACACACACACACACACACACACACACACACACACACACACACACACACACACACACACACACACACACACACACACACACACACACACACACACACACACACACACACACACACACACACACACACACACACACACACACACCACACACACCCACACACACACACACACACACACACACACACACACACACACACACACACACACACACACACACACACACACACACACACACACACACACCATTAAGGAGACCATTAAGGCATCGACTGCAATTCGCACCGGCTCCCTCGGTGAGTCATGTTCTTTATCTGCAGAGCTCCATTCACATGGAAATGAGGTTTACCTCATTTTTCCCTCATTGCAAATGACAAGGTCAGTGGCAAATGATTCAATTAGCTTAGCATGGTTAGCTATCTGACACGACTGTCCGCGGGTGTCTGAGTGGAGACATTTGGAAATGGAAATGTGTGTAATTAATCAAATTAATGATTATTTGTGTCAATGGGAAATGATGTCAAGGCTCATTAAAAGTTTTCGATTGACTGGTAACTTTTAGGAGTTTAGCCAGAGATGATTTACAACAGAATATGCACATTAGTAGCAGCACCATTGGTACAACAATGGTAAACACTTCCTGTGTACTAATGAATGTATGTTTTATTTTGCTAGCTTAGCATATTAACACAGCTAACAAACATGTTTAGCAATAGGAAAATGAGTTACCTAGGGTTTTTCGCTAACATTAGCTTGAAATTATGACAGTTTTATGTTAACATATATTATTTAGCTAGCATTAGATATGTAAACAGCTAACAAACCTATTTTAGCATTGGGAAAATTAGTTAGCTTGAGTGTTTTCGGAGGTTAGCTGACGTTAGCTTAAATAGTTTCCAGTTTTAAGTGAATGTCATATTTTATTTGAGCTAGCATTAAATATTTACACAGCTATTTGGTCAGCTAGGATGTTGGAGGTTTGATTTGTGTTGCCAGATCTTGTAAGAGTTGTTTGTAAAAGAATAAATAAGACAAATTGATCAATAATAAAGTATGTTTTCTTCTGATTTGACGGTCTGAGAAAAGGCCATTTTAGTGTCAGTATTTTCGGAGGATTTATGGCTTTTCATAAATGTGTGTACCTCTGTTTGTGTTATTTTGCAATCAATGAAATACGGTCGACAGGATCACATGCAAATCAACAGAATATGGAAGGCAGATCTCAAAGTGTTAATAATTAATAAAACATTCAGCCCCTCTCATCCCAATTTAACCCTCCCAAATCCAGCCTGAATCATAAACCGGGACAAAATGAAGTCACATTTCCATATGAAACCAAACTTGTGGGGTTTACATACCTAAAAAGAAATATTCCAAAAATAAAAAAATACAAAGGGAGAGAAAGAGGGGGTGCAAAAACATTTTTTTGGACAAAATTAATAATCGTATAACACAGAAATTACACGCAGCCAAATATGGGCGCAACACATGACCAAGAGTGAGTAACAAACCAAAAAAAGTAAAAAATTCAGCCAATCAGCAAGCGTCGGATGCAGCATAGAGACCAATCAAAACGATCGCAGCACTCCCACATCGAACACATACGAGACAAAGATGGGACAGGTAAGTTAAGAGGAAGGGATGCAGGTGAGAAGTAAAGAGACAGAGCCAGTCCATATACAAAAAAAAAACAGGAGAACATAAAGATGGAGTGAAGAGAAAAAAGGTACATGAGCAACACAAAAAAATAACAATTACTGTTTAAAAAAAATAACATATATCCCAAGGTGCATCATTCAAATAAAGCAATTAGATTTGGTGACCATTCTCCTGAAATCTCATTGTATGTGGTGGGTTGAGAAACAGAGCACCAAAGGATGGAGGGAACAGAGAAGAGTGAGAGATAAGAGAGAGAGAGAGAAAGAGTGAGAGAGCAATCCTCATTCCCAAAAAAGGAGAGAAATCAAATAAACATGAGACACTTTGCCAGGCATTATAACTGTGTGTCACAAACTAAGGACCAGAACACTACGACTACCACTACGACTACTAGTACACAGACAATCCACTACAAGAAAAACCAAACCAAAAAGAGAAAAAACAAACAAAATGGCAGCATAATAAGAGACCCAAACACAGTACGGTAAACCCCATATCGGTTTAGAAATGCATATGGTTACACAACACTGGCAACACTGATTTGACCACATTTGGAGCAGCGTAGTTTATTTTTTAAAGCTGTAAATGAACTCAAAAATTCAAATTTACGAGATAAATTTAGGTGTTTTTATCCTACTAAACGTACCCCTTTAATCTCAGAGAATATCCACATTTCTTTCTTGTCAATGTATGATATCTACTTGGAGCAGAATGTACAATTAATTTGCAAAGATACTGCTAAATAAGAATAGGACTGATATTTAAAAAGTCTTTGTCTAATGGTGTATTAAAGCCAATATTTTTAAGACCCTGGGAGGAAGAGAGTTTAGTGAAAAACATCTGAAATTTACAAGACAAAAAGGGATATTCTCATAATTTTTTCTTGTACATTTACCACTTCAAGTGTATCCATGATTTTTCTCACTTAAATGTCCAATATTTATCTGAAGGATTCTTAAATTAGGCTACCTAAAATTGCCTTAATCAACTGCCTCCAAGTCAAAACGGGATATTCTGTATCTGCAATACGGTTAGCCCGGATGCTAGCTAGCTACATGTCGTACATTAGCAACATTAGCTCAAAGCTTCATACTTAAACCTTTGATATCTTTTCTTTTTGCCCATTGGCTATTATTGGCCAACATATACACTAAGCTTAAAGCAGGCAGGTCAATAAAATAATACAAATTCAAAACCAGAGCAGCGTTATTTGCCCTGAAGCTCAGGCGCCTGCATTCACTCAAAGCAAATCGTAGGAAGCAACAAGGAGCAAAAGCTTCATTTCAATTTCTGTTGATTGTTTTTTTGTTTGTTTTGGTTATTGTTATTAATCAAGAAAATGAAGACTAGATATACACATTGGAGTCCAAATGGAGAATTAATCAGATGGATTGTGGATAGCCGTGTCATTGCATAGAGGAGGGTGATTACATTCGGTCATTCCCAGTGAGGTGTTAATGACATGGTGTGAGGGAGGGAGGGAGGGAGGGAGGGAGGGCATGTGGAGATAATATTACCGCTAAAATAATCGTTGAAAGACGCTGTGTCTGTTTGTGGTGCTGTGTGTACTCGTAAAATAACCTAAACAATAATATCTATCTGTCAACAGGTCACTATACTGACTAATATTGCAAATACTGTACAAACTACTTTATTAAATGCCCATTTTTTTTAGGGGTAGGGTGGGAAAAGGGAGGGGAGGGGTCAGTTC